GCAATTCAAGAGTGGAGCATTTTAAAGCAGAAGCAATTTCACCCCAAGCACCTCAGAGTAAGACAGAAATGTTTGGAAGGAAATATGGTAAGTAGATGTAAGTATGAAAATACTTCAGTATAGAAAGCTAACACAGTCTTTCTAGCGTTATAGAAGGTGACAGCATGCTGACATTTGGGTCAGTCACAGCTGCTGAAAAATCCTGTTTGCTGAAAAGGGAGGGAAGATGGAGAAGTGGACCCTGACTGTGCCTGGGCAGGGAATAGCAGCGAGGAGAAGAGCTTTTGCTCCCCCTGCCCGTTGGTTCAACAGACTGGCTGAACCCGGTGCCTGCCACTCACCATCACTCTTGCCGCATACTAAACCCGCATGAAATGCAGCGTGGCCTACACCAGTATCGCCACCTCAGCAAAGAGACACAACTGAAAGAGCATCCAAATCCCGTGGATTTGATGAAGTCAAATATAGCATCTTCAATTGTCTTCCTCGATGAGTTAATAAAATGAAAAGATGCTTAAAATGTCCTTTTCATCTTGTCCTCTCTTCCCATGTGTAGAAAAAGAACTCTCTTCTGCAGCACCACAGACTACCACATTTCTATTTTATACACAGAAAATGACCGTATACCAAATAAGCACGGGTCATCTGTACCAAAAAAACACGGAAAAATTCTTTTATCGTCACGTATAAATACATTTTATTTATATTGTTTCAATTTTAAACAAAATTCCCACAGTATTACTAATGGTAAACTAAAACCTTTTTCTAACTCAGAAGCAAAAGATGTGTTTGTTTTTGTGACATTAAGAGTACACACCAAAGTCCACTGTCACTGATGAGTCACATTTTGCTAAAAGCTCATGTCCAACATTTACAATTTTTAAAAAGCATTGTGACTATTTTTTCTAGAAAAATTCAATTATTTCTCCAGGCCACAAATATGCAACCAGTACTGACTTCCTGTCTATGAATTTAATCCCACCAGCCCTGAGTTAGAGTGCGATCAAATCCTGACCGACCAAGTTTCACAACAGATCGCTCATCAGACTTCAGGAGTTGGAATTCTGAAGTTTCACCAGACATCCCAAGAGCTGATAGCCTGCTGCACGCAGGGTGATGGTTCTCCTTATTTTAATTAGATATATGTAGAAATACCCTCGACTAATCTTTATGTAAGCAAAGACATTAAGACAAAACCTGTCAGATCATGCAAGCTTGTTCCCTTCTATGCATTTTTTACTGTTTTCTCAAGAATATTTAAAAATACCTCAAGGCTAGAGACTTGACTACTTCATGAGAAGACCATTACAGAATCCTACCAACATCACCTTTAGGAGAATGTTTCTCTTATTACTCAGTTTCTCGGTTTCATCTGCTTGACTCACAGGAAAATACATCCTTCTCATTATTTATACCCCTCAAACACGTGGTATCTGCACTACATGTGGCTACATAGAGTAAAGCTATTTAGGAAGAACAGGTAATTGTTTCATAAGTGCTCTGCTTTGTGTTTGGTGAATAACTTAACATTTCATATACATAAGAGTCCTTTCATAAAGGTAACTTTTCATTATTTTATTTGAAGCAACAGGAATTACATTAAAAATAAAGTGTTGTGATATAAAATCTCATGATCATTTTCCATCAAAATGATACAGCAAACAGAGATGGTAAAATACATATTTGAACGATACAAGTCTACCCCATTTTAGATTTACTGCAGGCTTCCTCACCAATAACTCCATCTGGCATACCACTAACGCAGTAATACCAATGCACACACAAACAAAAACCCATGGCACTGTTAGCTTTGCAATTCCTGTCTATTCCTGCCTACCAAGAACACTGTGCAGTCTCAACAGGGCTAGGTGGAATAGTATTTAATATGCTGCTGGCATTAAACACGGTATTCTGATAACAGAACCATCAATAAAAGCAAGTACATACTGCCAAACACTACTTGACCATTTTTTGGAAAGCATAAACACAATCATACTTACAGCAGAGGTAAGACAGTTCTGCATACTGAGCAACAGTATTGGAATACCTGAGCTCTGCCAACAGAAAAATGATACGCAGCTTCAAGTGTGTGTGAGGGTGCGCGGGTGTGTGAACTACACTGTATATGGCAATAAAAGAAAATTGACAAGCAGCTCAGCAGAAAAGGCCATGACATAGTCTGACGGTGCAAACATACCAGTTTTCCTGAAGGTATTTTAATAAAAAACAAATAATCCCCCAAATAACCTTTACTTTACTTTGTGCATTCCTCTGGACTTAGCAGAGACAGAACAGGAACATGCTGTGTTAGGCAACAAAACTGTAATCACTCTGTTTTGGTAAAGGGAAACCCAGTGAAAGGAGAACTTACAAACTGTTAATGCATTAGAAAGCAGGAAGCTAAAGGGAGAAAAGCAAAGCAGCAGGATTTGATACAATTTTTCCCTGAAACAGGGGAAGAGGAATTTAGTGTAACTCCCGAGGAGGAATCCCTCTCCCAAAGGGCTGTAGAGATGTTAATGAGGTGGAATTTAAGAATATGGATACAGAACATTGATCCCAAAGAGATTCATGTCATGTAGAACATATAGTCTAGTCTAGGATACAACTCCAAAAACCTCTAGAGAAACTGAAAAATGCTCCAGAAAGTTTCATTTTCAGATCCCAAACAGAACCTTAAACTGTTAATGGTAACTAATCACTGCAAAGTTTGTCCGCTGATCTTTGTTCTGAACAACACATCAGTTTGTGTTTAGTATGAATAGTTTTATACCAAAATAAGTGCATTTGCCAAAGAATTGTATCTAATAGGACATACCACAGGGGGCCATCACTGAACCTGAGGATTAGGTCTGGGAAAAACAAAATTCTTTTTCTATTATGCATTAACAGCTGGCTTTTGCAAGTTAACAGTCAGGTTACTTTAATTCTTAATTCAGGTCTGGAATATTAAAAAAATCATCACGCTTCTTCCATCCAGGGACTCCCAGTTTCCTGAGTGTATTGCTTTAGAGTCAAATAGTAGGTATAGAACTAGATTATTACACAAAATTTTCCAGAGAACTTTTTGTGAGAGAAATGGTGTGAGATCCCAGTATTCTTCCCAAAAATACAAGTGTAGACAACAAATTACTTATAGACATTCTATATTAAATTCACCTTTGCTCTCCTTGATTGTGAAATTAAAATTACTTAAGCTTATTTCAACACTCAAAGATATTCCATGCAAAAAATATAAAAAGTATTTTTTTTACTGCCTTTAATTACTTGATCAAACTTCACCAATTGATGAATCTAACCAAACTGCTACAACTCCCCAAAATAGTCTCTGTACCTCCCAACATAAAAATACTCTCTGTATCTCCCAGCTGTGTGGAATTTCTTGGCCACTTTTACTAGAGGAACTAAAAATCAGAAAATTAAACAGAACTAAAGTCAGTATTTCTTCATACTGTAGAATTAATGCAGTAGCAAGAATAAAATTTGGAAATGGAAAATGTCTAGAGTTCATTAGCTCTTTCTCCACATTAAGTATTAGTGGCAGCAACAAATGACAAACAACTCACAATTCTGCTACTCAAGGACTCGGAAGAGAGGGAGTAGAAAAAGATGAACTTGTAAATAAACATGGGAGACAGCTGATTGAAAATGTAATGTATCACCACCTTAGCTTTTATAAGAGAACCAAATTACTCTGTAGATTCTTTCCAGAAAGCAGTATTGGGGGTATTATGGACATAATTTCAGAGCTGTACATTTAAATAAAACTTTTTCACAGTTCAAACTATAAGAAGAGAGAAAATCTACCACTTTATGCTGTATATGCATAGAAAATACTGTCTTAAATAGGAGATTTCAAGAAACTTTGTGTGACTTTGTTACAATTCCTCTTGTCTTCAGCAGATGTTTTCGTGTTCCATGACTGGTAACATTCCACATTTTTTTACTCTAAAAACTACATCACAGAATATATTTCTAGCTTAAAGCAACCAGTAATTGTTCAATTAGAATGTACAGTTTAAATTAAAAACGTGATGATTGATTTCTCAGCTTACTATTGCAGAAATCCTAGTTTCTGTTCAACTAAAAAAGGAATTGCTTGGCATTTTATTTATGGCTATTCATAAATGCCTCATGTACCATCTGAAGGATGGAAAGTTATATATTTTCTTTATCATAATATTATTAAGATCTAGCCAGTCTGTCACTGTAATCACTATTCTGCAGTATCATGACATACCAATTACCAATGATTAAACACTTGACTACCAAACTGGGTTGTGTAACAATATTCACATTAAACAAATATTGCAAGCAAGTCCACATTCTGAGCTTCTTATCGCCTCAGATATGTACATCACAGAAAGCAGCACCAGATCTAATCAAAACTGGTGAAAACACTACTGTATTGGGATACTGAAATAACTAGTTACACTACAAAAATTCTGCTTTTCAACTAATTGCTTACAGAATGTGTATTATCTACATTTTTGTCTTTATTTTTTATCACTACCAAACATCAGGCAAAAAAACCAAACCAAAACAAAAACAAACCACAAGAAATTGAAAACAAATATAGTTAAAACAAGCCATTCAAAATAATCTCCAAATTTATTAACGTGTACTTTTTGGCCAATGCCTAAATGCCAAATTAAACAAAAAAATACTCCAACAAACAGTTTTTACACAATAACACCATAAGTTGTTGGGTTTTTTTAATTACTTTCCTGACAAGTTATAATTCAATGGTAACTCCTTAAGCCATCATATAAGCCTGCACTTAGTTCTGGGTAAATTTATCATAGTCATCATCACCCAACATCAGTAAACATGTATTTGGAACAATGTCCATCATAGCCTATTAAAAGACTTGAACTGACATTAATCAATTTTAAAACGAACATTTCTACCTGCCATCCATCTCCTGCCATCACTTTCTTAGCAATGTATGTAATGAAAAAACCCCACAGAATAGGAGCAGTTTTCAACAAAAAACTTACCCTATAAAAAGCAGTCGTCAGGGGTAGCAAAGCTGCAGCAATGCTATATTCTTCTGAAGATGAACAATCCTTCAAGAAAAACATATGAAGAAAATAAGTAAAACCATTTTGAATGTTACGCGTTCTAATTTCATTTCTGCCTATGGAGTCCCTCTAATAGCCTTCCCATACACAAAAAAAAACATTAAATCACTTGATATAATGTAAGAATAACATATATTGTATGTCTGTGCTTGTGTGTGTACATATACATATCTTATCTTGATTTCTGCTAGAATGGTATTGCTATAATTCTTCCCATATAAGGAATTTATTAGCAGCATTCTCACTCCCATGTCTGAAATACAATTTCATCAACGTAATTTACATTTAAAAGGAAAGTATTAATCATTTGGGAAACAATAAAAAGGTAGCTTGCTAATCTAACTAAAATCGAAGTGATGTGATGACAAAAGAATGTACTTTCAAAAAGTTTATACAACGAAATTGACATGTATTTAATATGAAATAATCACCTCCACAACCTCTACAAAAGTTTGGCACAAGTTCAGCTTTAAAAGAAGATGAAAACCCATTCTCCTCACAGTCTCAGAATACCTCACGCAACAGTCAAGTGTGTCATTCGTGTCTCTCTCGGCTGAAAAGGGTATGCCAAAGTAAATCAACTAGTAATTGCACTGATGAAAATGGCAATTTTATTATGGAAGTCTTTTTAAAAGAAACCAGAATCGGAATGTAACTTAATATTTAAAAAACAAACTACTTGAATTTTTAAGACTTTCTTTTAAAAACATCGAACAAAAAATACTCAACTGGAGTTAAAAAATAAACTCTTTTTTCCAAGTGGCTAGATTTTTTCATTAGCTCCTTTTGCCAACACTAAAGAACACAGTAATATACACAGTTCTACTGGACAACTGTACCACCATTATGTCCCTGGGTGATGAATGGCAAAACAACATCTCCATTTGAACAATTAATTTCAATATTTTTAACATTCATTCTTATAATGGGCACCCTCCAACTTAAACCACACTTTTATTAACTATCTATATCTGACCAAATTCCAAAACTGAAATATCTCAACTGTTCCTCTGCCAGACTTCACTTACGCCTTCATCTCATCCTAGGGTTCTCTAAAACAAAGAAACTAGCAAAAACTTGGCACCAGTCAATTGTGATAGCAGAAATATAAAATCTCCATTACAGAACAGTCATATTATGGATCATTGGGATGTTATTTGTATTCATCTCACTCGTCTTTCTTAAATGGCTGCTGAGTGACTGGACTGCAGGTTTAAAAAAACAGACCAAAAAACCTATCACAAGACTATTTTGCTTCTCAGCGCTTTAAAAGTCCACTTCATCCTTCATGATTTTCCAGTAACAAATATGTCACCTTTGACCACTTTAACCAAGCTCACCTAAACAGAAAAAGACTAACATCCATACACAGTTAAATACAGTAGCATTTTAGAAAACTACTTATATATGTATTCTGAAAAGGTGTACAAGTTCACAGATGTGAAGCTTTACCTTTGCATGAATGCATGTATGCTATCTGCACAGGGAAAACAAAGGGCGTGCAAGTGCTCACACTTCAAAACACATTCCAATTTGGCAGAGGAAAAGAGTAAGAAAAGTGGACACTGAGAAACCCAATATATCTTTTAATGAGGCCTTTCAGTATTGTGACATGTATATCAAAAACCTGCAATTAGTTTGCAAGATGTCAGATAGTAAGACTAAAGACCCAGCCTCAGTTACTTTCCATTTTCAATCTCTGCATTGTTTCTTACTGTTATCCATATCCTTAACCCTCATTCAGAGTTTATTAAATGTATTTTTAGTTTAATATTAAGATAGGATACATTTTGTTAGTATCTTCTCACTTGATGAGAAAACTTTCCATTTAAAATGAGACTTTACAATCTTTACGAATGCTTAAGAGCTTTCAAAGAAATACACATCTTATTTCTGTACATGTTTATTCATAATCAGGTATAAAATGATCCATTCTCATTGTTTCCAGTTATCTACTTAATCCCTTAGCCCAAATTATTTGGCTTTTTATCCAAAATATACACAAAAATATCTTTCTAAAAGCTGAGCAATGTATCTTCACCTAGAGAGCATTCAATATTCCAAGAGCTAACATATGTCTCAAAGATATATATCATCACCACATAAACAATACATATTATTTTTCCACTCCTTCTTGCAAGTATGAAATTCTCCACATATTCTATGTCAGCAGTACCCCCTGGACTTGTAGTATGGAAGTATTACCTCCCTATATTTTTTCTTCTCCAGCACAGCACAAGAAATGTAAAATGATCTCAGTTAGGAATCAAGTATAACACTGCTGTTTTAAGAATAGTGAAATTAATTGTTCACCTGCTTTGTAGGTGCAAGACAGGATGCCATGGTTAACAGAGATGTTGCACTGAAAGCTTAGCTTCTCAATTTCACAGGCAAACTAAAGGACTGGAAGTGTCATACATGTATTGTATATAACTAATTTAGACTCCTGAAACAAAGCAATCCAGCTGGTTTACGTATAATAATGTCTATACTCTCTTTCTAACATTCATATACAGTTCTGCCTAATAACGTTAACATCACTGCTAGCCACTGCTCTGCTTTATAACACGATCGAGGTTTTCTTTTTTTCGGTCACCAAAAGTGAAATCAAACCTTACGAGGCAGCTACAATTTTTTTTAGATGCAAATCTCCTGGGACTTGAGAAAAGGGATGGAAGACATTTAGGGGGCCGGTTAGCTCAGTGGTTTGAGCGCGGTGCTGACAACAATGACAACACCAAGATCGTGGTTTCGATTCCTGCTCGGTCCCCATGTGCTGCCTGGTCTAGTTGAGAGGTGGCGTCCCTGCCCATGACAGGGAGGTTGGACGAGATGATCTCTAAGGTCCCTTCCAGCCTAGGCCAGTCTATGACTCTATGATTCTACATACCTAGGACACCCACACAGCTGATTACCTGCAGACTTTTCTATCAGAAGAAATACAAAAACACACTCAAAACTCGTAAGATACTGCCTACCATAATTCTCATTACTTTTAAAACTTCTCATTTTGATAAGGAAATATACCGTCTTTCAAAATTAACTTACAAAAGCATCTCTTCTTTCATAAAAGGAATTTTATGTGTCACTCATTAGCAGAAGCTTTTAATTTAACTTTTGTTCTACTTAAATACTGTTGCAGTGATTCTCAGTTAACAAAAACAAAAAGGTACACTCTTATTGCCCACTGTAGTCAGGTTTATCATTGACCAGAACCACACTTTAGATTTTTAAGGAGTAACTTCTCAGATTGCTACCTGGTTCCTATCTGACAGCAGTAAGTCAACACGAAGTCCATATGAGATTGATTTCCCCTGTGCCCTGAACTATGCCAGATGTAATACGTTCTCATCCTCTACAGCCACTGCATTCATGTGAGTGCCAATGCAGAACACAAATGAACTGCATCCAACCCAGAAAAATCCTCACCATTTTGTTCAGACTTTGTGGTCTTTCTGCCTGCCTAGAGGCCTTCATAAAGACCACTGCATTAAGGAATCTATCAAGTCAGCAGTAGAAGCCAGATGGTACAGGCCCGCCATTCCAGGTAGCAGGAGATCCAATTCCATCTTAGAAGGATGTTCCTTCCTGAAGCGCCTCGTATTTGTCTTTATCTGGCCCTGAGTTCTCATCAGTTTGCCTGTCCTTGAAACACAGTGGTATGAGGGACAGAATTCAACTGATGCAATTTAGATGGAATTACACCAGCACGTAACGTTCAGTGATTTTTAAGTTCCCTTTTGCTTCTCTCTGCACACTCACAAGTTAACAAATGCAGCCTATTATCTCTATGCAGCTCCACTGTACTTCTGATCTCACGGTATACCAGAACAAGAAACATTTTACTCAAAGAAGAGCTGTTGAACCCCCCCACTCCCTTTTTTCTCAAAAAATACATTTCCGTTCTAGGGTTGAGATTAGTCATTTCCTTCTTCTTATAACAAATTATGTTTAGGAAATTAGGAACCTCAACTTTTACGTGCATAAATTATACACTCTTCATCGTATTTTTACTGTACCCCAAAAGCGCAAAAAACATTTAACTTTTTTTTGCAAGATACTGATAAACAGAAGAATGCCATCCCTTGCGTCTTAAGCACATCTGAGTTTCTTTAACAGAAATGCCATGCATGTTTCTGAATACTGTCATGAGGCCCATGGCAATAAAGTTCAACATACTCAGGCTGTAATCTTCTCCCAAGGAAATGGTTGGGATGCCAAGATGCCTTTTGACTTTTATTTCACAGCGGGGCTTCATTCACAGTGACTCTGTCCAAACCTTAAACTACACCAGCTGTGATACAAGGTTCTGCACAGTAATTTGTAAAAAATATTTGACAAACAACATTCAAATGATAGAACACACTACAATTCATGACAAAACAATGATCAATATCCATTAACTACTCAACTGGAAAGGGGTGACTAATTCATAATACACCTACAACGTGCAGCGTAGTCCTAAAGCCCTGGCAGACCTGAAGCATTTATGCAGCGATTGCAAAACATAAATAACAGGATATTTTGTACACCACTTTACGGATAGACTGCTTAATTGAATTGAGGAACAGCAAAAAAAGCTTAAAATATTAGAAGTCCATTAAAATGATGTGATATTCCAGTCCAGTCCACTTATCTAATAGTGAATCAGTTCACAAGTACACAGCACACATTCTTATGCATTCTAGCATTCATTTGGTGTGCAGCAGTGTCTCTTCTCCTAAATTATAAGCAAAGTCACAAACTTTCAAATATGTAAGAACACATTCATCTTGCTTAATTTTACTGTTTTTCTCTAAGTTTCATGCGACTTCCTTACTTCACAGATTGTTAATAAAAATGCACCACATCATCAGCGCACATTCTATACAATTTTTACAACTTAAGAGGAATTAACACCTTTTAAAAAATACCAGTTTTCTACCAGCATGTAAAGTGATTCACTGAAAAATGAAGTTTTCACTTTAGAAAAGCATTGTTTGGAT